CACTTTGAACTTTTTTTCGCAAACCACTATTTTGGCACAAGCTTTACAAAAAACTTTATCCCCATTGATTTCCAACTCTGGAAAGTTAATAATCCACGAAGAAATTCTCGACATTTTAGGACACTTTTAAAACAACAAATTATTACAAGACTTTTCACTAGGCAAATAACGAGGATACTATCTCATTAAACTGAATGAAAAACATTCAAAATATTCCGATGTTAGGGTAGATTGGTTACAAGAAATTACTGAGAATTTTATATAAACCGTTTTATTGCATTGTAGGTAATACTTTATCTGTGTAAATACCATCTATTAACAGGTACCTTAATGGGCTTAATCTCTTAAGAAGGTAAAAACCCAGTGCATGCCGCCCTCCAAGAACTAATTAACAAGAATTTACAAGAAGTGACACTTAAAAACAAATACAAAAATTTAAAAGGTCTTTATTTCAAATATATCTGTATAATCTGTTAAAACAGTTTTTGATTTGCACAGTATAGTAATACATTTTTTTTTCTCGAAAATATGCAATATTTTCTTAAATTTTCTGAACTTTGGTAAAATATGCAATATTTTCTGAACTTTGGTAAAATATGCAAAAAATGCATATATATGCATTTTGCATATATTCCGCTCTCTATTTATAAAACAAAAGTAACTAATTCAGACAGGTTTGCTAACTTTAACATTACCTACTTAAAAAAAAAAGTTAAATGTATAGGTACGTGTAAGATATGGATATGGAATACTTATATTCAACCTATAATATTCGCCAACTGCATTAGCCTGAATATTATTTTTATGAGATTGTTGTCCGTAATTCGTGGCAGTGCCAGTTGTGTTATTGTGTTAGTTACGTAATTTTATTGTATATAGTGTTGTTAAACTGCGGCACATAGTACCTACCTAACGAAATATCAGTAATTCATATATTAAGGCTGTATGTTACGATACTAAATTAAGTACTAAATTTAGAACTAAATTAATGCATTTTTAAGTACTAAAAAAATTCACGGTGCAAACAGCAAATTTATTATTAGACTTAGTACTAAAAAAAATTAATTAAATAATTGGAACTTGTTCTATTTTCTACTAAATTTAGTATTAAAAATGCGTTGAAAAAGTTGACATAACGGTCTTTTCTGCACCATTTTGATTTTGGTTAGCGATAACTTTGCATTATCGCCTTAGACAAATTTCGCTTGTGGTTGATTTTGTAGGTTTTATTGTGTTTTTTCGTGGTTTTTAGTAGTATTGCTGCATTTGGTAGTTGTCAAGTCAGCTAGTGTCAAGGTCATAATAAAAACATCTTTTTTATACAAACGTCAAAAAATAACAAGGTTCGCGCATTGACAACAATATGAGAAGTGACCCTTTTTTCATTTTCCTTCGTTACCATGACACCGTGCGCGAAGTAGTGTGCGAAATACTTCGCACACGACATGTAAACTATATGGAATTTTTATATCTTAACCTTTATGTTCCTCAATCAAGCAAAAATCTAAGAAATCATTTATTTATTAATGTATAACAATAATTAAGGCTTTCAAAAATAATTATCAAGAACTGTCACTTTGAAATAATTGTCAAGAAATGCCATTTTATTTCCATAGTTACAGTAATTACTTGATTTGTAAAACAGTTTAAGCCAGTTCAATACTATTTTTCATATTAAGCTAAGCATGTTACTTATTTTAGAATAATATTTTTGACGTTTGTAGAAAAAATTTTGTTTGCATCTCATGCGCGAAATACTTTGGTGATCTCGACTAAAAAAAATCAGTTCTCGATCACCAAAGTAGCATTTCGCGCACTAGATACAAAAATAACTATTAATTCACTTGTCTCATTTACACAGAATGTTTGATTTCTGTGCTAATTTCACGTAATAATACATCAATGTGCGTGCGCCTATACTTAACCCCTTACTGCATCCCGTGTCAAATATGGCACACGCCAAATTTTATTTTTTTTTTCTAAGTATTGACGTTACTCAGAACCTTATCTCAAATTGTGCTATATATGGCACTCGCTTATTGGTTTGTGGCGACGCGGTAGCCAATTCCTTCCAAAATAAACGTACACGATTTAGTTTCATTATGTCTGTTGGAAGTGCAGGTGTTGTTGTTATTTATTGAAAGTTCTGTTGTTGTTGTTGTATGGAATATTGGCTCAAATTTTACGAAACTAAAATAAGTGGTCGAAAGATAAGAGTTTATATTACAAGTTCTTGAACATATAAACATATTCAACATATTGTTTGCTGAAAAAAATGACTTTGTTTATATGTCCCATATTTGTCACAGGCCGAAGTAAGTGGAAAAATAAATAGGGTTCATTTTTATTTTCAGATGGATCCAAAAACTTTTTATGGCATGAAAAGGGTCATAATTCCGGTTACTGACATAAGCGATGACGAAAATTTATCTGACGGCGATGAAAATGACTTAGAAATAAGATAAGAAGTTTTGTGCAATGAATCTGAGAGTGACACTGACTTCTCAGTGACAGGAGAAGTTATTGACGAAACTGATGACACTGATGATGACGTTCCTTTGCTTTCCCGTCTTGAGTCTGCTAGAGCTCAATATATCAAAAAGGCATCTCAGAACCAGAAAGAATATGAATCTTCTTCACCTTCCACTTCGTTTGGCAGAAATCACGGGGGGAAAAAAATCTGAAAAAGAGAAAATCAAATGGGAAGAAAAAAAATTGCCATTCCTTGAAGATGGCATCAAATTCAAAGGTTCTGAGTCACTACCCAACAATATACAGGATCTTGATGGAATCATCCAATTCTTCAATTTTTTATTTACGGATGAAATTGTTACTTATATAACGGAACAATCGAATCTTTTTGGTGTACAATGTAGGCCAGAAAAGCCACCTAATATCACGAAGGAAGAAATAAAAGTTTTTGTTGGCATATGCATTTATATGTCAATTGTTCAATTGCCAGCTACTAGAAATTATTGGAACAGTTCTTTAGATATTCCTTCTGTTTCTAATGCTATGAGTTGCAATAGATTTGAACAAATTAGAAGGTTTCTCCATTTCAACGATAATATGAATCAACCAAGACTTGGAGAACCTAAATATGACAAACTTTATAAAATTCGACCTCTGTTGAACAAAATTAGGGAAAGACTTTTGCTTGTTCCAAAGGAAGAACATATGGCTGTTGACGAACAAATAATCCCGACAAAAGCTAGGTCGAGTTTGAAACAATATAACCCAAAAAAGCCCCACAAGTGGGGCTACAAAGTGTTTGTTTTGAGTGGGGTGTCTGGGTTTAGCTATGATTTCGATTTTTATAGTGGACCTACTGAACTAGAAGACGGCCTTCCCAATTTATTCCTAAAAATCAAAATTATAAACTTTTTTTCGATAACTGGTTTACTAGTATTCCTCTTTTAGTATACCTATCAAAACAGGGTATTTTACCTCTTGGAACCGTAAGATCTAATCAAGTGCCAGATTTCCAGTTTCCTAAAGAAGCAGAAATGAAGAAGAAAGGTCGAGGTGCTGTCACAGAAAAAGTTGCCAACATTGATGGTGTAGATATTTCTGTAGTATCTTGGTACGATAATAAAATAGTGAATACCATATCAACTTATGTTGGAAGTCAGCCCATGTCCGACGTAAAACGGTTCTGTAGAAAAACAAAGAGCCATATAGAGATTCCCCGTCCAAAATGTATTGGGATATACAATAACTATATGGGTGGTGTTGATCTCTTAGATTCAATGTTGGGTTATTACAGAATTCAGATCAGGTCGAAGAAGTGGTATATGAGAGTATTTTACCATTTTATAGATATGGTGTGTGTCAATAGTTGGATTTTATGGCGACGCTCTCAAACTGACGATATGTACTTGCCTCTAGCAGAATTCAAACTGGCACTAGCAGAAATTCTAACCAGGGCTAATGTTCTACAAAAAAAAAGGGGAAGGCCAAGCAATGACTTACAAACTCAATTGCAATTGAAAAAGAAAAAATACCCATTTGCGCAAATACCAGCTCGAGAAATTAGAACTGATAACTTGGGTCACTTACCGGAATGGTCTCATACTGAGCGTCAATGCTGCAAGTATATAGACTGCAAGGGAAAATCACACATTTATTGTGAAAAATGTATGGTTTTTTTGTGTCTTAATAAGGACCGTAACTGTTTTTATCGCTTTCATACTGAATAAGAAATATTTTTTATATTTTCATTACTAAAATTATTAAAATGTATATTTTTTAATATTAATGTTACCTAAAGTTGTTCCATATTTAGCACATGTCAAAATTTTTGAATATAAGAAAAAAAACATGCCGTAGAATTTTTTTTAATATTTTTCCAGATCTTCTGAGGTCATAATACATTACATAAATTAAAATAATATTAATCAAAAAAATCATGCAGTAAGGGGTTAATTTAGTACTAAAAATTGGTATCGTTGCAAAAAAATATTTTTAATAACTTAATTTAGGGCTAAATTTTAGTACTTAATTTTAGTACTTAATTTTAGTACTTAATTTTAGTACTTAATTTAGTATTGTGACATACAGACATTACGCGTTGTAAAGTCGTAAAAGCCAGGGGGGTGCAACTGCCCCCCTTGCCCCCCCCCCCCCCCCCCAAACGACGCCCATGGTAACACATCCATTATTTTGAATAATTTTAATATTTTTGAAATGGACTGCTTGATTCTGGCTGATGCAGCAGTAGGGGAGGCACTACCTTTCTTGTTTTTGGGGGATTAAAATAAATATTTAGTAACTTTTTGCGACAGGAGGGTTTGTATAGTCACTAAGTATATAATATTTATGCATTGATCCGACTTGCCGACGAATTTCTTAATAGTCTTCAATACTAGCAAACCCAGACATTTTATGACATACATCAAGTAGAAAATTTATCTTACAAATTTGGTAGAATGGAAACTACTATACTTCGAAGAAGACGTAGTACTTTGCATCAATTAATAAAAAAATGATTTTAAACTCACGTGTATCCAGACATCCATTCAAAATTGTCCATCAGACTCCAAGCTGTGATTCCTGTTACATTGACTCCATCTTCGTATCTTGCTGACAGTATATTGCAGAAGTAATCCTACAAATATAAATTTTTAAAATAAAATAAATTAAGCCAAACCATATGTCACACAAAATACAAGCGACCGTTTCCCTTCGGAAAACAATCACTCTTTTGGCTGCAGCAGGTATTTAATTATATCCAAAATGAATGCAAAGCGGCAGAAATTCAATTTTAACACTCTATGATTTTGTTTACTAAGAAGAACGTCATTCTCGGACTGTTTTTGTTCTTATTAGAACTCATCAGCAAGAAATTAATATGTTTTAAGTTGCAGTCTCCAATAGAATCAACAAATGTACTAGTACAAATTCAAGATGGCGCTAAGCGAATAATTATGCACAAGTAGCGCCTGCAAAATTTCTAAATAGGTTTAATATGTTGTTTAATAAAATAAAATATTTCACATTAAAACAAAATAGTGTCAAGTATAAGAACGAATCCATTTATAATAATGGTTAGTCAAGAAGGAAATGTCTGACTTTAAGAAAAAATTTCTAACTGAATCTACCAAAAATCAAGATCTTGAGTACAGTTTTGGTGAATTTGAAACATTCATAAACTTACAGATGGAACATATTAAAAATGAAATAAGAGCTGTTAAGGAAGAAATTGACTTTTAAAAATTCAATTCATTCATGGAGTTCCCGATTTGTATCATTATATTCCGAAATGGTTAATAATACAAAAATCAACATTAGAGTGAGTAAACAAGAATTAAATTATTGTCACCGTCTTGGTAAGAAAAACTCTGAATCAGATAAGCTTCGGCCAGTTTTTGATGTTTTCTGTCATCGATGACTGCGCGATGAAGTATTTTATTTAAAAAATAAATTTAAAGGTTCAGGGATAGTGTTCACAGAAAAGCGAACAATAAATTGTTTAAAGTTATATAAAAAAGTTCGTTAAAACGTAGGAAATTCGTACTGTACTCAAAATGGGAGAATTAGTATACAGTGAGCATCATAAGTCTTACCCCCCCCCCTAACTAACTCGTTACTGGGGTCAAAAAAGGTATAAGGCCTAACTCCTCTCTTTTTTTAATAAAGTAGTTTCATAACAAAATCCGATTTCTAAAAGTTATTTAAACTCAACTATGTTTTACACGCAAAACCCACAAATTACTAAAATTTATAAATAATTTAGTGAGTTTTTGCGTCTCCTGTAAATTTTTCTTTTTTGAAGGTAGGCCAGTTGCACCTTAAGCAGACGATATAATAAGTTCCTCCTTTAATTTCAACGACTCATGAATTGAAATTGGGTAAATGTGTAATTAGCACCATTTTTTCTAAACTTGGAATTTATGTTTATCGTTTCTTAACATCCTCTTTGTAGATGTTTTTGTCTACCTCCTATTATTTATAATCATTTTTATAATTTTATCAAAGTCTATAAGACTTACTTAGACTTCTACCAAAGACCTTTAAGATGGAGATTCCTATTTTCTGACTTTTGTCCAACTTAACTTGCATCCGTCTTTTTATAAATGGGTAAAATTTAAATATACACCTGTGTTTTCCACTTTCATACATCAAGAGTAAGATTCAATAATTATAACGAAATGTATTTACCTGAACCAGAAGGAATTTTGTTTTTATATTTTAACAATTATTTGTTTTAGGTTAGTTTAATAATTCATTAATTTTATTTAACTGTAATTTAACATTTATGGATATAATATAAGAAGTACACTGTTGCCAAGTTGTGTAATATTTCTTGAATAAAAAGACTATATTATAGATATATTTGCTTGAGATTGGGGAGAATTATTTAGTTGATTCTTACCTAAATATATTAAATCAACAAGGTCTGTTTCAGTATATAGACATAGTAACGAAGGAAGAAGCAAAGCTCTGCCTTGATCATTATTTTATGGGTTTAGGTAATAAAATAAAAAGTAAAACTAACTTTAAGGTAGGTCTATTTGAAACAAATGTAACCGACCATTATACTACATTCATTTTGATAACCAATGAATATTATATTAAATTAAATAATAAACAATAGTAGGCATTTCAACAAAATCAATTATGAAACATTATACAGAGATCTGGAATCTGAAAAATTGACCAACATTTTTAACAGTAGTGATAATGATTGAAGCTATAATGAATTTATTAAACTACTTACAGCCCAAGAGCCCACCTGATAACGAAATGAAATAGACCCTCAAAAGCATGGAAAAACACTAATATTGTACATTACCAAATGGCACCTGTGCCAATCCCAATCCTGAGCAAAGTGGCTTAAAAAAATTATTTTATATTAAAAAAATCACATAAGGCATGACAGCGCTAATTTTGTATGCCCTTAAAGTTTGCCAGAAAATAACATACAAATATATCTTGATATATATCGTTAAGAGAAACATTTTCTTTCTCTTGACATCGCACAAAAACATCTATACACGATAAGTAGGTAAAAAAATCATTAAAAATATGAATCAATGTTTACTTATTTAAAAATTTATTTGTATGCCTATTGTTGTGATTCATTTGTACAGGTTGCCATAGAAACGACAAAAAAACTACTATGATTATGGTTTAAAATAATTGTCTAACAAGAGTTTATAATTATTATTGACTATCTCTGCAAATGGTTTATACAATGCCATCCTTCTTGTTTTCATACATAAACATGGTTTAAAAGGTAGGTAAAAATATTAATAATTCAGGTTTAAAAGCTAGGTTCACAATGAATTAGGATTGTAATTTTCAGGGAAAACACAATTGTTGCTGTAATGTCTTGTGTGAATTTTTGAATATAAAATATATTTTTTAAACACTTTGCTTAGGATAGGGATTGGCACAGGTGCAATTTGGTAAAGTACAATGTTGTTACATGCCTTTGGAGCATATTTCATTTCGTTATCAGATGACGGTCGAAATTTGCAGTGGGCTCTCATACTATTAGTACAAATACTAAACAGATTAAAATTAATACTAATAAAAATTATAAGATCAAACAGTGGGCTACTTTGGGCATAATTAAAACTATAAGACGTTGAGATTACCCTAAAAAACAATATCTCAGAAATAAAAATGTTATTGAACTTCTGCAAGAATATAAATTGTACCGAAATTTTTTAAAGAAGTAAAAAATAAATACTACCAATCTGACATTACAAAAGCAAAAACTAATTATAAAAAATTTGGGACACAGTAAAAAAGGCATCTTAGACTTAAATAACAAAAAACAAGTTACAATATTATAAATAAAAAGGTAATAAAACTAAAGTAAATTTTTTTAATACTTTTTTGCAGAAATAGGTAATAATATGATAGAAAAATTGACAGTCCCAATATAATTGCGTCAACTTAAATGATAACCACTAAATCTATTAGTTCATAAAAAACAACGAATTAATAAAGCATATATCACTATTAAAAAATAAAGTGGCTTGGACGTATTATCGCTATATTTAAAAATATACATTTCTTACATCTTAAACACCTTGGCACATATTTTTAACCAATTATTAACGATTGGCAAAATAGCAATATCATTTAAAGAATAACACCCTTCTATAAATCTGGAAAAAAGAACTAACCACTAAATACAGGCATACATCAGTCACGAACAATATTTTAAAACATTTTGAGCAATGTTTGAAGAAAAAGTTAATAGAATTTTTTGAAAAACAAAATATTGAGTATAAGTCAATATGGTTTTAGGAAAAACCTTTGCAGTCAAGATGCGCTTCTAAACTTTGAACAAAATATTGTTAATGGTATTGACAACAATAAAAAAAGCCAAATCATTTTGCACTGTGGATCACAGATTGTTATTAAAAATATTAGAAAGAATAGGAATAAAAGGATTAATGTTGGACATTTTCAGGGACTATCTTTCACAGAGAACCCAATTTGTTAGAATAGGCAACCTACTCAGTGACCCAATGACCGTTTCTAAGGGCGTGCCTCAAGGAACGGTACTTGACCCAATTCTTTTTTTAATATACATTAACTGTACTTATAATATTAAAGTTACAGAAAAAATAATTTATTATGCAGATGATACTGTCATTCTCTTTAAGGAAGAGAGAGCTGGAAAAAAGTTTTACTGACAGCTGAGGATGGTTTGGGTAAGATAAAAATGTGGCTTGATAACAGTCTTCTGAGTCTCAATGTCCCCAAAACAAAATTTATTTTATTTTCACTTACTAATGCTGATCAATCAATTCAACAGATTTTGAAGCTTCACAATTATAACTGTAATAAAGGGTCTGTCAGTGTGTAACGATACAAAAAGAGAATCAAATGAAATATTTAGGGTTAATGGTTGATCAACATCTAAGAGAGAACGAATATGTTACCTTTTTGAACAAGAGATTTAGGAAACTTTTATATTTAATTTATCAAATTCAAGTTATTTTTAAAAAAGATCTATTATTTCTGATTTATAATGACTTAGCTGAGTCGCTGCTAAAATACGACATTCTGATATGAGGGTGGCTTCTAGATAACTCTCTCAATGAGCTGGATACAAAATACGTTGTTAAAAATATTGTTCAAAAAGGACTTTAGATGTTCAACAAATCTATTATATAAAAAATTAGACTTTCAAACTGTAAACTATTTAGAAATGAATTAAATTACTAAATATTTGATTATATAATTTTATTTACCGTATAGAATGCTGCTCTGATATCATCTTCAAGAGTCGTACCATTTTCGGTCATTCCAATTTCTGTCAATATAATTTCATGGTTTCCATAGTGGTCCTTTATCCAATTTAAAACTTTTCTGACGCCAAACGGAACAATCTAAAATTGTAAACATAACATTTAGTAGAGCATCAAAGGAACAACTACTGGATAAGTAATAAAAAGGAACTAATAGAAAAACAATGATAAGGATAATTTCATTTATAGTACGCTAAGTTTTTAGGTTGAATTCGTGTTTGGTAATAGTACATAAATCAATTATAGACAACAAGTCTATAAATCTTAATAACAGAAAACAAATACGAAAATTTATAACAAACAATAATTTTAAATAATCAAAACTTACTGTATTTCTGCCATTATCTTGTACAATCCAAGTGGGGTCAAGCGAAATATTAACCCCCTTATCATGTTCGTAACTTGTCTCATGGAAAGGAGCTTCGACCATGTCTGCAGCTAGAGTTGTAAAATAATGATTTAGTGCTATATAGTCAGCAGTGCCTCTTATGAACTTAATTTCTTCAGGAGTAAACGAAGGAAGACGAGATTTTGTTAAGTTTGCTGCCATACTTCTTAAGTGAATTCTGTCTTTTACCACTTTCGGCCAATCTCCGACGTAGATAGGATTGAAGTATAAGCCACACTAAAAAATAAACAGTTTTCAAATAAAAAATAAATTGGTATATTCTATCTATAGGGATATAGATTAAATTGATATCATAATAGAAGTAACACATACTTCAAATTGCCGCTGTCTTTCAGCAGCTGCCTGATCTTCAGTTGAGTTAGTTAACGGTTCAATCCATAAACAGTCTACACTGGGAGCCATTTTTGCTAAAATAATCGTCAATAAAATGGCATTATAAAATAATCTTTTTTAAAACTAATAATAAGACTTGGAGTAGAACCATTTCACGTGAGAAACAAAACTTGCTAAATTGAAAAACTTTTAATAATAATTGCGGTGTACCTCTCTATTCGGTACTCGCACTGCTTTTATTTTTTCTTACCCTTAACATCTCGCCCAGTGAACGAAATTAGATCATAATCACTATTGAAAATTTGAAGAAAAATAAATTTGCATGTTCCTAACATTTTTATTTATTTTGTAAACATTTGTTTATTGTATATCTGCGACCATAAACTTTTATGTATACATATGTCTACACATAGTTCAGTGTAACTTTAATTAAATAAAAAATAAATTCAATAAAATAACAATTTAAAAACAATTATTTATTGGTATGATATGAAACACAATTTTTATTTTAAGGATATTTTTGAGGCCCCTAAAAAAGTGGGGATTTGTTTAATCAGTAACAGCCCAGAAATTGTATACAAAAAAGGTGTGGGGAAAGGAGGTTTGCCTTCTCTTCGAAACTTTTTTTTAATTATCTATACAACCAATTTCTTAAAATACTTGAATTGTGAAAAAATTGTGTAACTCCCACTTATACTTACACCTACACCTTCATTGAGAAGGGAGGGGGGTGGATGAGTTGCCTTGTATGGAGTAAATTTTATTTCGTGTCAAAGTCCAATCCGTCGAAACCAAAATTTATTTTCCTAAGTCTGGGAGTTCTATACATCGACCTCCCATAAGATAAGGGAAGTAAGGGTAAGGGTATTTGGGCAGTTTAAAATCTTTTCAGCCGTTTTTTATTTTTTTTCGATCCCTTACCATTTAGGCAGGGCAGAGGAAGAGTGGGTAAAGTAATTTTTTTTTCGTTTTTCTCCGAAACTCTATCCGTACAATGTTGTTACATGCATATCAGATGCTGGTCGATATGTGCACTGGGCTCTCCTACTATTTGTTTCTTAGTTATTTGCAGTTTTTGTTTTTTTGCAAAATTTATCGACTTAGAAAAATATGTTTTTTATTTCTTAAATTTTATCTTAAACATACTGTGACGAAAGTCTAATTTATTTAAAGTTTATTTATTTAAAAACACACTATTTACAATTTATTTCAGACGTACTATTTAATTTATATAATATTTGAACACTAACTAACAATTCTAATTTATTTTTTACACTTTTACTTTTCAATACAACGTTATATATTCCACTAAACTCGGTGCTGTTACGCCGGCTATTTATATTAATCCAACTCCGCTACTGGAAAATGCTAGAGAAGGCCGCGTGCGTACACAGGGTAGGCTTTAAGAATTTTCGTAACATTGCCCCCTCCTTAAGAAATAGTTCCTCCTGGAACTTGATCCTCTTTTACAATTTCCAGTTGCATGGAAGTAACAAGGCACAGTCTTCGTTATAACCTGAATCTTGAAAGATTACTTCCACCATGTTTCTAATAGTCCTCCAATTCAGCTGATTGCTCTCTATCTTTGGCATAGCTAGTTTCTGTACATTGGACTCCAGTAAATGCTCCCTTAAACTGAGTAATGCTTCCCATACATCCTGATAGGTGGATCGATCTCGGAAGGTGTTCTTTGTTACCAAATAGAAAAGATAACGCGATCCATCTAGAAGTTTTAATGCTTTTCCAGGGGCTGGTAACTGATCTTAAAGTTCTGGAAATCGACCAAACTTCTTCCGGAATACAGATGCCAGACCTCGAGCGTCGTAGATGTTGGCGGAAGTGCTATGGACCAGCGAGTAATCTTTTGGAACCATGATCAGGTCTTGTTGTTGCTCAGTTGTAACACCATGTCTTGCTTTTCCGGTACCTCCATATGCACCTATAAATTCTTCAAAGACAAGGTCAGGTGTTTCTTGGAGCTGGTTTACTTCTTCTTCCTCTTCATGGTCACCCTCAAATGGCGCCAGCCGGTTTTGGTGCACTACCCTTGTCTTCAGTTGTTGGGACCCCAGGGCGTTTGCACGAACTGCGTACATGCCCCAGTTCACCACAATTCCAACATCTGATGGTCTTTGTCTTCATCTTTTTATCAGTAAAGGTCTTCATTAGGTTAACTAGTTGGTCGAGTTTATCTTCTACGTTTTCTTCTTTTACAGCTCTCACTTTACTGTATCCTCCAGAAGCCTGCATAGCTGCCTCGTACTCTAAAGCAGCAGACAAGACATCGACCAATGTTTTGTGGCGGGCTAAGCGGAGTGTTTTCTGCATCTCATGGTCACGGAGTCCATCAACAAATGTTTGGACTGCTAAACATTCCATCATGTTTTCCGGAGCTGATGGGTAGGTAAATCGCACCAATCTGGCAATATCTACTTCATATTCTTGAAGGGTCTCGTCTCGTTTCTGTTTGCGATTCTTTAACTGTGACTGGTATAGATGCTCCAAATGTTCGTGGCCATATCGCATGTTAAGTCTCTTTTTTAGTTGTTCAAATCATGTCTCTTCCACGGGTATAGTCTGAAGGACATCTAAAGCGTCTCCTCGAAGACCGATGGTCAAATTTATTGCCTTCTCTCGTTCAGACCACTCGGTTGCTCTGGCAGCGGTTTCGAACTGCTTAAGGTAGTTCGTCCATGACACTTTATTTCACCGTCCTTGACTGGTTCTGTATGTTCGAGTTCTTCTATCTTCTTTTCCATCTCTCTTATTTTGTCTTCAACGGAAGACATTATTTTATTCTCAACGGAAGAAATCTTATCATCCATAGAAGAAATTTCGTTTTTCATAGAAGACATTTCAGAAGATACTTTTTCTTCTAAGGAAGAAATATTAGACGAACATTTATTTTCCATAGAAGACATTTTGTTTTCCAAGTCGGAAGAAATTTCATCTTTTAAAGAGGAGATATCAGAAGAAACTTTAGTTTCTAAAGAAGAGATTTCGTTTTTCACGCAAGAAACATCAGAAGACACTTTTTCTTCTAAAGAAGAAATATCGAACGAAACTTTACTTTCCAAGGAAGTAATATCACTTTTTATAGAAGAAACTTCTGAAGAAACTTTATTTTCCAATGAGGAAATGTCTGAAGAAACTTTAGTTTCTAATGAGGAAATGTCAGAAGAAATATTGGTTTTTAAAGCAGACATCGTTTTTCATATCGGAAATTGAAGAAATTATAGAAGACGCATCATCAGAAAATAGATACGTTTCCGGGATCCAAACCTTCACTTTCAAGTGCTTCTTTAAGCCGCTCTGACAGATCCGCTTTCTTTCCTGTCGTCTCCAGATCACGATCTTCTAATTCTCGACGCAATTCAGCCACTTTTAAATCACACAGTTTTTTAGCCATTATTGTCCACTATTTATTTACAGTTCCACTTCTGACACCAATGTGACGAAAGTCTAATTTATTTAAAGTTTATTTATTTAAAAACACAATATTTACAATTTATTTCAGACGTATTATTTAATTTATATAATATTTGAACACTAACAATTCTAATTTATTTCTTACACTTTTACTTTTCAATACAACGTTCTATATTCCACTAAACTCGGTGCTGTTACACCGGCTATTTATATTAATCCAACTCTGCTACTGGAAAATGCGAAGATGACTAAACGGCACTCCTCCCGTTCTATCCGTTTCTCGAGCTACAGCGACATTCCTAGATCATTCCGTCGCCTCGAGTACGAGTTGGTTGCCTTCTCAAGGCCGCGTGCGTACACAGGGTAGGCTTTAAGAATTTTCATAACAATACTAAAATATTTTCGCTCAAACTGTTTAGAACGGTAATTTTATACTAGGGAATAAAATGGAAACAAGGCTTACCTTTATAATGTGGAAACTCTTTTTTGTACATTCGATATATTGCAGCATGAGTTTTAACAGCTAGATAAGTACATTTATATTCATCTTTACCATTGCTGGTAATACCAGGTGCGCCTTTACCAAGACTGTAACCCAGTCGACAGAGCCAATGAGGTTCGTTAAGCGTAATCCACATTCCAACTTCTGGATACGTTTTAAAAAGAAATCTGGAAAAATCCACCATAACGTCTATAATTGCCGGGTTGGTCCAGTGAATACCGTCATCCATTAAGTTTTGTGGAAGATCCCAGTGGTAGATCGTTCCCATAGGAATCATGCCATATTTTAGAATTTCTTTGAGGAGATTTTTATAGTATTGCACTCCTTTGTGGTTAATTGTGGTGTTGTATCCAGTTGGGAAAATTCTGAAAATCCAGAAACATTTTTTTTTTACCATGGAAGGAAAAACTAATACAATATTAAAAATAAATAAAGATGAATTCAATGAGTGAATAACCAATAGTATAAAGGCTGTGTTCAGTGAGTTCACCTATATTTCAGAATAGACCAGCAAAACTTATAGTGGTTTGGAATATAAAAGGGAGGTTTTATTGAGGGACACAAGATATAAAGAAACTATAAAAAAGACTGACTGACCTGTTAAACTCAAAGATTGGAAATTTGGATGAAATATTCCTTGTGTACCATTCGGGTACATTTTTTAAATTCCAACCCTAAATGGCAAAAAGGAGTGGTAAAGTTTGTATGAAGGAAACAGTTTTTTAGGTTACGATAATGTAACTTTATAAATGTACCTTTTAAAAGAAATAAAGTAATACGTGCTTCCTAATTTTTAATATTTAATCTCCTAACTAGGTGAACGGGCTAAAAACAGTATGAAACATGCAGAGAAACTGACGGAGTTTGCATGTAAAGAAAAAGATATTACCTCAATATTTATTTAAAGTTATTTATGTTTGTGGTACCTAGAGGAACCTGAGCTAATATAATTAATGCCGGTCGTAAAAGCTCAGTATTGTGACAGGAAGTAGAGTAAAGTGGCCTATTATGGGGTATATTCCTAATATGGGGTATGCATGTATTTGTGCAACTAAAACAGAGACATCTATGTTCCAATAGTCTAAGTACACCTTCTGGTGAATGGTAAATGGTTTAAAGGCTTGCTTCGGGGTCATCCAGAGCTCTTCCTAAGAACCCCACAAGGAGTTTCATATGCAAGAATAATATAATTTACTCCTAACAACGTTTCCAAGTTTTTTGATTTATACGAACCACAAATTGATAAAATTGGACAACTATCGATCCAAGATATATAACTGCTATAAATCTAGGATATCAGTTGTCCAACATAAGCATATTAAAGGAGATATAACACCGGTAGAACGAGGATCTACTATAACTGTGGTTTTTTGCTTTTAATGACGTAGGACAGTACGTGCCACCATTGATAATATTTCCCAGGAAGAAAATAAAAATTGAATTTATAAATGGTGCCCCTCCAGGTTCAATCTATGCTTGTCAACAATCGGGTTGGATTTAACAGCATATATTTTTTCAGTGGCTGCACCATTTTATTGAATTTGCCAAGCCGACAGCAGAAGATCCTGTTGTCCTTATTTTGGACGGCCATTATTCGCATACTAAGAATTTGGAGGTAATCATTTTTTTGCCTGCCACCCCATTCTACCCATTAGATGCAGCTGTTGGATGTTGCATTTATGTTTATGTGTTTAAAACATAATGAGCCCAGAGTATCTCTCAACGGCTTAAGCAACATCCTGGTCGTGTGGTGACAGTTTACCAAGTTGCAGAGCTATTTGGCATGGCATATAACAAGACAGCCACTATGGAAACGGCAGTTAATGGGTTTAGAAAGACCGGAATGTTCCCAGTAAACCGAAATATTTTCCAAGATCACAGTTTACAGGAAAATACAAAGGAAAATGTTTGTTCTATGAAAGGAATACCTAAAGAAGGTTCAATACTGAGCAACTCGACAGCAAATAGTTTAAATGGTGCCCTTTCTTTTAGGTCAAAATTAGTTGTAGATCATGCCGTTCCAAAAACTGTAATGCTGAAGAGATGTTCCACATTACTTCGCCCAAAACTCCTACTATAAAACCGATTTTACCCAGCAACATATTGAGTATTCCAGATTTTAGCAGCAAGATTGATGAGCAGAAGAAAACCCGAGGGGACAAGTGCGTTGTGGTTACTATTGTACCCTATAACAACAAACTGGAAAAGAGTGAAAGAAGAAAAAAAAAGTTTTGAGCGAACCAAAGCCGAAATCAATTAAAGGGAAAAATACAAATAAAATGGGTGATAGAATTGGAAAAAGACTTATCATCGGAGTCAGATATCGAGGTGCATTTTCAAGAATAAGATTATTCTGATTAGGATAATATTAAAGCAGAATGTTTTATTTCAGGATGTTAAAAGTGGAGAGGAGTGAGTTCAATGTGGAGGATGTTTGGAATAGGCTCATGTCTCCTCTGCCGGAAATGACATGCCTACATTTGTGACTTTGGTAGAAACTTTTTTTTCGGTTCCTATTATTATTTGTTCAGGTTATAATAATAATAATAATAATAATAATAATATTAATAATAAAAATAATCTATTTTTCTATAGTTAAAAAAAATTTTGTGAATTTTTACAGTCTATTTAAGTTTTACGAGGATTTTTATAACTTTTTTAAAAGTGTGTGGTTTTATACATGATAAAATAAAGTTTTTAAATATGTTTTTTTTTTTTAATTTTTGTACTATATAGAACTGCATTAGATGAATTTTTCAAGTACCTCATATTAGGTCTTATCAAGACCCCATATTAGGCTAACTGGTATCCTAATATGGGGTGGACACAAAATATTTAATATATATAATAACAAAAAAGACTTCGCCAGTCATCCATCCTGATTCCGATTTTCCTAAGCCCAACCTTTGGGAAAATGTTAAGCAATTTCTGAAGGCGTTCTCTTGTATGAATAAACTACCATAGGAGGTGCCATGTTTCCGGATGCTGCAACTGTAATCAATACTGTGATGCTCTCTTTTTCTGAAGTTTTTGAAACATCGTATATATTTTTAATTCCCTTTGGGGCCAAAACTTTGCCATTTTTAGGGCATGAGGAAATTGCTGTCTCATCAGCATTAAAAAGCCTGTTAGCTTTTCAAGTGTTTTTAGGGAAATATTTGGATGCCTCATTAAAAATGACTTAAACCATTTTTTTCCCTGAAATACCGTCAGAAAATAGATTCTTACGGCCTAACTAAATAAATTTTGCTACGGTATCAGTTAAACACTGTTTTGTCACAGGAAAGCCGGCCCTTGCAATATCAACAATTCACATTACAATACGGCCTTCCTCCTCAGTTGATAAAATCGTTGGAGGTCCCATATTGGAAATTTTCGGGACTGATGCCTTTTAGTTTATTTCGCAAAGTTATGCGTGGAACACCGAATCTTTTACTTGCGGTTGCAATGGGAATGCCTGCCTTTGCTGCGGCTAATGCTTCTGCCATATTTTCAATGGTATATTTCCTAAATTTCCTTTTATCCATTATGTTGAAATCTGAAAAAAATTAATAAACCAATCATGGACATACACAATTATCCCTAAATGGATTTCCTTTTAACAATTTACTGTTATTTATATTATTCAACAGCATTTTTTATAGTCATTTAAACTCAATTAAAATCAACTGAAAGACATTTTTTTCCTTAAATGGACATTGTGTTCATTTAGGGTAATTATATGAACTTAAGATCCTATAATGGACACCTAACCTAAAATATCTAAAATGTAAGCAGTCCTCTTTGTTAGTAAATAACAAGGTTAATACATACCTTATACAACACCACAAACAATAAATCTTCGATAAAAATAAAAACTTTGTGTTTGGTAGCTTAAATGAATTACCGCCATTCTTATTACTTGCGTTAACAAATGTCTCTAAACAGCAACAACGCGATCATAAAACGTTTGGATCTTTAAACATGGCGTCCTCTGTTAGCAGAAATCGCAAACAAAACATAAAACTATAAATTAACAAAAGATATTAACGTATTTACAGGTATCTTCAATTCACAAATATCTTAATACCAGGCACTAAATTGTAAAGTGTCCATTACTGGTCCCTCTATAATTTTATTTCCTTTATATATTATATTAGGAAACTTAAGGTTTAAGAAGAACATCTATTTCTTAAAAATTACTTAAAGTTTAATAGTTGTTAATATTTCTACTATTTGTGAGAGCATGACGCACCATGGTATTAATTTTTTCTTAAAACAATATCCTAATCGAAAGATAAATGACCATTTAAATGTTCCAACAATATCCTCCGCAATTATTAAATTTAATGTTTGGGAGGCTTTGGATTTTTTTTCGTGTTTGGCGCACGTAATAAACACTAACTTATTTTGTTGGGTTTGGAATGTTTGACCTTTAAAATTTTTTACGTGTTTGACGCAGATAATAAAACACTATTTTTAATTAAAAAAGATAAATTATATCCGGGAAACCACCTTTTACAAAATATGTGGTCAAGTTAAAGAAATAAAATGATTGTTTTTAATTAAATCTTAAATTGTTCGTTGGATTGAAATGAAATTGTTTTAATATAAACAGGTAGGCTCCAGTTCTTTCCAATGACGTACGGAAGGGACCATAATTTTGTCCGGCGGGTCCTTTCTGCCCACAAATCTCTGTTTTCTACCTGTGTAAGTAAAGGGGTGCGTTAATCTTACTGGTATTTTGCCCACAGTAGCATTCAGGTACCTAAACCCGCAAATTACATCCGCCCACAAATAGGTACCTACCTGATTATTAATAATTCTAATAGGTACTTACTTTGGGTGTTTACTGTTTATATTTTAGTCAGTTTTTATACGTTGATGATTGTAATTCGAGTGTTTATAAACAATAATTATTTCTATAATGTCACCTACATTGATTAAAAGCACACGCGGGAAAGATGTACTCCTTTTGGAGAATTTTACGTTTGCCAAAGATAGAGAAATGAAAAGTGGAGAAGTTTCTTGGAGATGCTCCCAAAGAAAAACAAATGCTTGTAATGCCACTGTATTTACAATTGGTCCTGAACTTTTAGTATCCAGAGGCAACCTAATTCATAGCCATGAAGCAAATGAACCGAAATTAAACAGGAAAATTATTTCTAATTCGTGTAAGGGAAAAGCAGTTGATGATATTTCGGAAAAACCTTCTAAAATTATCCGTAAAGTACTTGCTACTAATTTACCAGAGTCACTAACTACAATTGATGTGTCCTACATAAGAAAAACTATATACAACAGTCGTCGCAAAATACTACCAGGTCCATTACCTACAAATATACAAGAAGTGCATGATGCAGTTGACTTATATTCTAATACATTTAAAACCAGTAAAGGTGAACATTTTCTTTTAATAAATAGCAGAGAAAATAATATTATTGTATTTACATGTGAGACAAATATTCGTACTTTGTGTAAAATGAACGTCTTGTATATGGATGGAACATTTTCGTATTGTACAAAGTTTTTCCTACAATTATTTACCATTCATGGGCTGTGTAATGGACACTATGTGCCCCTGGTATATTGTTTATTACCAAACAAATCTACCGATATATACAAACATTTGTTTTCGTTATTGCATTATAAAATTTTGGAAACTTACAGTATTGCTTTAAATCCATCTAAAGTGTTCGTTGATTTTGAAATAGCAATTCATAAGGCGTTAATTTATATGTGGCCTAATACTGTAATCAATGGCGTCCGATTTCATCTACATCAAGCATGGTATCGTAAAATTCAGTCTCTGGGATTAATGACTGAATATACAACTAACAGTGATACCGGAAAATGGCTTAAAACATCATTTGGGTTGACATATTTAAACGCCGATGAAGTTGGAGACTGTTTTGTGTTTGACTTAATGGCAAGTAAACCAGAAAATGCCGTTCTCGATAGGTATGCCGATTACCTATTAGAAACATATATTGAAGAAAATTCTACATTTCCTCCAAGTATATGGGCAGAAAAAACAGCTTCAATTACAAGAACTACAAATGCCTGTGAGTCGTTTCATTCAAGGTTTAATTCTTCATTCTACTGTACACATCCTTCTGTATATATTTTTATAGAAAAGCTTAAAGACTTTCAAATCGACACGTATGTCACAATACAAAGCTTAAGTATACCTAAGAAAATCAAAGACAAAAGTGTAAAACAAAAAATTCAGTGTTTAGAAAAATTTATACAGCGATTTGATCTGCAGCAAATCAGCAGATTAGAGTATATAAAATTTGTATCACATTTATCCCTCCCAGTTGAAAAATATGTAAATAAAATATAAATATATAAAAAATATAATATAACTTATGTATACTTACTTTTTTATAATAATAAAAATTAGTGTTTAATATAATTTTTAGTTTAATTAATAATGTGTTTTTACTTTTCGATAATATATAAAAAATAATAAATGAAAGATATATCTATTATGATTTATTCAGTTAGAAATAAATTTGGGCAAAATACCAACAGGATTAAGATGACCTTTTACTTGCTGTGGGCAAATTACCTATAGGATTAGCAGCTTTAAATATTTTGTGGGCAAATTACCTCCGCCCATTTTGTCGACACTGGAATAAATGTTAAAATCAAAAAAATTTTACTTTTCCAAATATTATGCTAAAGTAATCATTTTCAAGAAATATATTTTTATATGACCTATTTAAAATTATGTTTTATTAATATGCTAGATTTGTCACTAGGAATTTGCAGTTGAATTTTGGGACACCCTGGATGTGTTATATGGATGATTTTAACAAGTAAGAGTATATTTTATTCATACCTTGACCAAGAGAAAGAAAATCTGTACATCTTCACGCCAAGATTATAAGCAAGAGCAACATCTTCTTTATATTTGTGATAGGAGTCACAAGCAACATCTGCATTGCTGCCATCTATTATCACCGACGGGTCTGAGTGTGTAAAATTATCCCAGATACTAGGACCTTTTCCATCTTCGTTCCATGCTCCTTCTATTTGATATGCCGATGTTGCTACTCCAAAGAGAAAGTCCTTTGGAAATATTCCTGTATTTTTATGGAATCCTGGTTGTCTATCTCCTGCCACTATTCCTACCCTAAGAAAAGGTTAAAAATAATTAATAATATTATTTCAAACATTTAAAAAATAGTTGCTTATTGTAATGTAAAATAATGTAATGTTGCAACATATTTTAAAGAAAATCCGCAATAAGAAAATCAATTCATACAACACAGAAAATAGATCATCTAGAAAAGTTTTGTCGTGGAATTCTAAATATTCATTCTCATTTTTCTAAAATTTTATCTAGGCAATATCTTTGCGATCATGAATTTTAACGTAGATCAGATTCAGGGTTTCTTAAATTTTATCAACAATATTTATCCTAAAATTAAATTTACAGTCGAACTTAAAGGTAATAACTCACCTAACTTGTTAGACTTAACTATCTAACTTATTTTAACAAGGAAATTAATGTGCTGAAACAAATACCCATCAATAACAACTTTAACCCTATAATATAATTATTTCAGTTATTAACAAAATCAGTCTCAAATAAAGATCTCAACTAGCTTTTAATGGTTCTAATTTAACTTCCCCTACTGTCAGGTCTTGTTCTTTACCCTTTTAGGAAAAATTTCTAATGATTTTGCCAATGTGTTTAGAAACTATATTATTAAAATTTCTTTCAAAACTATTAATTCAATCCCTTAGATAAAAGAGACCAGAGATATAACATACACCGGTTTTCAACCTGCGCAAATGTTGCCAATTTCTAAAGAAGGGTTAACGGAGTGGGGGAACTGGGCGGCGACACGCGGCGACCCGAACTCTGTGACAGGGACCGGACTCTGTTTATTAGCATCATAATGAACTATTAGATTTATTTAAAAGGTGTTTATTCAAATTTTGTATTATGAAATAAAATTAACGTGATTTTTTAATATCAAATAGATGTCACGACATTTTATGTAAAGAGAAGACCTTTTATAGAATATTTCGTTAGCGTTTATTTACTACGGACTTTTCTGCAACAGATTATAGTAAAATGTTGAAATAGAATATATTGTTAATAGAGCAAAAAATGTTACTCATTGTCTACGAGTATTATAAAAATAGCATGTTCGCAGGCTAATACTGCAAATCTACCCTTATGAGTTGAACATTATATTTTTTCTACGGCTATTACATATTATTAAAAATTAGTCAAAATGAGAAAATGCTGTTTTATATTGTAACCTCAGAAAAAAGTATATTAAGGCTTCTTTCTTTAGGAATATTAATTATTATAAAGGATGAGTCACATAAAACTCTAGAAATGCATATGTCTGAAACCAGATAACATTTTAAAATTTAAATCTATTAAAAGATGAGTGATTATCAAAATAAATTATCGATCATTGAAAATAATCGATTATTTTCAAACAATTTATTTTTGTCATTTCCTTTAAAATCGACTACTTGATTATCTTTGAAAAATCAAAAATAATCGATTAATTAAAAAGCCAATTAACCGATAAATCAGTGTTTACAAAATATAATAAAAATAGAATTATCGTTTATTTTAAATAATCGATTATTTTCAAATAAACCATTTTTTTTTCGTTCGTGGAAACAGATTATTCGATAATCTTTGAAAAATCGAAAATATTCGATTAATCAAAAATAATCGATTAATTAAAAAGTCGATTAACTGATAAATCGATTAAAAAAACAGAATAATCGATTATTTTAAATAATCGCCTAATCGAAAATAACCAATTAATTAAGAAGCCGATTCTATGATAAATCGATTTTCCAAAAAATAAAACGAATTATCGATTATTTTCTAATAATCCTTTTTTTTATATTTCCTTTGAAATTGATTATTCGATTATCGAAAATAATTGATTATTAAACAGCAGGTTAACCAATAAATCGATAATTTAAAAAAAATAACCAAAATATCGATTATATAAAATAACCGATTATATTCAATCGATTATTTTCATATAATATCTTTGAAAAATCGAAAATAATCAAATAATTAAAAAACCGATTAAACGATAAATCGATTATTTTGAATAAATCTACCTTTTTTTGTATTTCCTTTAAAATCGATTAATACATTATCTTAAAAAAACGAAAATAATTTATTAAAAACAGCGGATAAATCGATTTTCATTAAAAAATATCAGAATTATCGATAAATCGATTATTTTTGTAACCCCTATCCGTCGCTTGCTTTTATCTGAGCATTTAGCTCCAAAATTTAGAGATTCGGATTTTTTGATCCCGTTATCTTTGAAACCGCATTCGATTGTATAATAAATATTGCTAAATTTTGGATTTTTTTTAGTAAACGAACATTTTGTGCGAGTTGTTTAGGGGTTTGTAATGTAACATTTTATTAACGTGACTAAGGGTCGATTACACCGTTGTATTAAACGAAGTTTAAAATGACATTTTTACATTAACACTGTCATTTTAATCTCCGTTTAACACAACGATGGAATCGGACCTAACTCCTGTATCTATAGTATTTTTTTTTGCTTATACTAGATCATATCGTGCGTTTTACTTTATTTTAAGACTGAAGATTCAAATGCCACTTTCGATTTGACCGCAAATAAGATGAACCTTGAAATTTTAAGTAGGTCATCCTGTATTTCATCTAATATTCTTATAAAAATACCTTACAAAAATAAAATTTAGCTAGCAACTATGATTCTTTACCTCTTATTTATTCACCAAAAAGGGCTAAAAACTACCTTTAGAAAACATTCTTATAAAACTACTTTTTAAATACAAAATTTCGTTAGCAATAATGCCTATTTACTATTTATTTAAATTAAATGTTCAAAATTTTACCCTTTTGTAAATTTATGTAAGTAATATGAAATCTGATTTCTGATGCTTAATATTTATTGAAACCCCTTAATGCGGATCTGAAGTATTCAGCCCAGAGAATCATGGCGCTTTATGTCAAAACGTTAATAAATATTTACCGCTAAAAACGAATATATTCATAACAGCATTACTTGTATTATAAGTACATACAATTTTTCAAGATACATCGTGACATTTTGAACTTGAAATTGAATAACTAGAACACTTTAAATTGCTAAAATACCAACAAATAAATCAAAAAACAGCTGTCAATGGTGATTAAACTCAGGTGGAGGTGATCGCTGAATGGAAAAATCGGAGTAATTCGGGTGGTGTCGTGCAACAATGATTTTTAATTGGTGGGTTACTTTGGATTAAAATAGACAACATGCGCAGTGTGCAATGTTACATCTTCGGTCTCTTTAATCTAAGTTCAATCCCAAGTTTACTTTGTCACCTTAAGGACGAGATAGATTTGCTTGACAAAAGAGGCATTTTTAACGATTGCATACCTCTTATATTGGTAAAACTGCTAGGAAATTAAACACCATATCATCGCCTAAATGTGTTAACCTGTTAACTCCATATTTTACGATTTCTGTCAACTAGATGGCCCTTTGCATCGACCTGTAAATCAGCTAACTCGCTAGTCTGTGTAGAAATGATCTATTTTGTGACGCACGAATACCAGTCAACTTATGTTGTATGATGCGCAAAGAAATACAGCTAATTGTATGCAACAGGAGCACGTGTTATTTTGACTATCAAATATTTCAGTATTTTTTCTATTTAGTGACAGTATTTTTGTTTTTCTGTATTGTTTTATTATAAAAGGTAATAAAATATTTAATATATCATAATGTATTTTAATAAAATTGACGATTTTAAGATAAAATAATCCAATTAACCTAATTTTGGAGTTACCGGCTTATCGTGTGCCCTAAGTGCAAGTGAAGGTTTGGATATAGCAGGTTTTCCTTGTTTTTTTACTATCCATGAATAAATAAAAATAAATAAATTGTTTTTATTTTGTAAAAAATCACTTGTATAGGGTCAATTGAAAAGTAGTCTACCTAACTAGTTTAAGAAGTTGGATGCTTCAAGTAAATATAGAATCAAATTAGTTTTATATCAATTTTCGTTTAGATAGTTAAGTACAATGATAATTTAGTACAATGAGGCATACAAAAACCATTATTTTTTTGAATAGTCTGCTATATATTTTCTTATTTTACAGATATTATGTCAAAACGAACAAAGGACATTTTAAAATTAGCAACCAGGCAAGCTGTATGTAATAATAACTCAAATGAAGATGCTAACAATATTGTGTCCGTAAATAATTTTCATACCGTTGAAAATGTTAACATTGAAATTATAAATGAAAATTTTTATGATGTTATGGAATCAGAAATATTGGAAACCATGGATGTAAATGATACCAATAGTAAAATGGAAGCGGCAGAACATTATGAAGTAGCTGATATTACAGATAAAAAAGAGACTAATAATTATAATACAGAAAAACAAAAGGTGATCCAGGGATCGGCAAGCATGAAATAAATAAAGTCATATACAAAGAAAACACAGGAGGGACAAGCAGGTTTAAAACAAAAGAAAGTACATCAGCATATGACATATCAGATGATAGTGACTACGATACACTTAATTTAGTGCCATATTCAGAGAATGATAGTAGTTCTGATGAAATGCCAACAAAAACAAAGACGCGACGAAAAAGATTTAAACTGGAAAATGCAACGTGGTTTTCAGAGAAGAATAGAAATAGGCAAGAAAAAGAAAAGCGATACTTTGGTAGAACTAAAGTAAACGGAAAGTGGTCTTACGACACAAAAAGAGAACCAAACAGAACTTTAAAATGCAGTCAAACAACAGAACTACAAAGAAAAGAGATATTCGAATATTCTTGAAGCCTAGGTTGGGGAGAAAAAAAGGTATTCGTAGACAGTAGTGTGAAGAGTAAATTTATAAAAACGGCAAGGGATAGGAAAGTACCAGAACAATCCAAGAGAAATCAAATTTGTAAGTGCTATTTAAAAACAAGCGATCAGGAAATAAGAGTGTGTAGAACAATGTACTTAAACACAGTAGGTTAAGATCGTTGGAGTATTCAAAATTGGAAAAATACGTTTTCAAATTACGAAAAATATGATGATGTAGAATAAAATTCTAAAAAAAGACCAACTGTATATAGAAATAAAAAACAAAATAAAAAGAAACCACTTGGAACAGAAAACAACAGCATACAAGAGTTTTTGGATTCATTACCAACAATGGAATCTTATTACTGCAAAAATTGCCTATTGCCCGAGTGGACCTCAAAAGAAGAACTTCACAAATTCTACAAAAAGGAAGGAAATATTCACCCTTTAAGCAGCACTACATTTAAAAGGGCATTTGAGTCGAAAAATATGTCATTATTTAGGCCAAAAAAAGGAAGACTATAACAACCATATGACAAGAAAAAGGGAAGCTAGAAGCGTAATGGAAAAAGATAAAGAAAATTAAAAATGTGTCTATACCGTCGATCTTCAGGCTGTTTTACTCTCACGAAAATCTATTATTAGCAGTCTTTACTATAAGACGAAATTGTGGGTGCAAAATGTGTGTTATTTTGACCTTAATAATAAGGATGGACATTGTTATCTATGGCACGAGGGAGAAGGGGGGTTTAGTGCAAGAATTTTCATCTTGCTTTCATTTTTTCATTGAAACCCACGTTATTCCATTCATTGATGAAGAAAATAGAAAGATCGTTTGGAGTGATGGCTGCGCATACCAAAATCGTAATAGCTTGCTGGCTAATGTTGCTATTAATTTGACAAAAGAATATCAAATAACAACCCAGATGCTAGTGGATTCAATGCATTCCACAATAAAACATCGTGTGAAATCAAGAAAAATTAATGTTCCAGCCGAATACGCATTTCACTGCAAAAAAGCAAGAGAGAATCTTAGACCGAATAATGTAAAATATTTGGACCATACCTTCCTCAAGTCGTTTAAAAATATTGAAATGGAAGAAAGCCTGGAAATTCTACGATAACTATTATTCCTAATGTTGTCTTTATTCTTTTATTAGTTCCTTAAATTAATATTTTTTTATTTTAGGTTAATGACATTCGTGGTTTAAAGTATACACCCGAGGGTGAAATATTTTACAAACTGCGATTGTCGGAAGAATGAGCGATTCTTCCTCAGCGAAAACGACAAAAACTCAGTACAAAAACATGGGCTGAACTGGATAGTCTTAGTCAAAATAAAATTGAGATGTCAGCTCGAAAATATTCTGATCTCCAAGATCTTAAGTCAACTTTACCAGCCGATTATCATGGCTTTTACAATGATTTGCCACATAAATAATTACATAATAAAAAATTATTATATGTTTTTGTAACGAAAATTATTTTATTTTAAGTTTACTTTTGTTTTTAAAATGCTTAGTTTGTCGTTTTTGTTCAATGTCATTGCAATTCAAGTTAATAAGAAATACTGCAATTCCTGCGATTTTTATTCGTAAAGAGAATTTTCAAAACTGTCAACTTTTTACATACGATTTATTAAAAAACAGTTTGCAAAATACTGAGAATCATTTTGGTAAAATATGTCGTTCTATGCACACTTTTGTATTAATCAAGATAGTTTTTTCTGTATCCTCATGGCTCATCGTGTTTTATTTAAACACTCTATATATTACTGCATTTTTATAATTTTCTCTCATATCAATCAGCAAGTATTAGACGATCTCGACTTCAGTCTCTAAAGAAGTCTGCCTAATACGTTACCTTACACTAGTAAGCATGAAAGATAGAACGAATAAGTAATAAACTAGTCAAAAATGGACTTAGGAAGCAAAATTAAAGCTCGCCGCGTTACCTTGTTCTCTAAAAAAAAGCGAAATAATAACTAAACGAGCAATTACTGAAGAAAAAATATTTCCATTCTCACAATAATGAAGAAAAATGAGAAAATCTCAAAGACCTGTCCAAGTATAACTTTCTTCTTAGGAAACAAAATCAAAGTTAGAGTGTTGAAAATTATTTTCCATCTCTGCTATTCACCTTTTAGTATATTGCAATGCCTGTTGCAGTATTAGCCAAGGGAGTAGTTGTTTTCAAGAGGGAAAAAACAAAAGTAGAAAATAGTGAAAGTTACAAAGAGTTAACATGAGCAAAAGACACCTTAATAATTTATAATTTTTGATATATTTTTTAATTTTTTCATAGAAGCCTTAAAATTGTCTGTGTATGCAAGTAACCTTCTGAGAGATGACATATCTGCATTAGCCATCCTGCAAATATTATAAATATTAATGCGACGTTGCGAGGTTATTTTCTCGGGAAAACTAAAAATATTTTTTGATTTTATGTACTTTATTCTAATTTTATAAAAAGAAACATTATTTTAAATAAGCAATATTTTTTTTTTAATAATAATTAGACCGCTGTAGTTATGTTTTTTTAAAAATTTGGCTTTATTTAAATATTAAAAACTTTTTTTAATTTCAAATTTAGGCTTTGTAGGGACACTCTACATTATTCTATAAATATAAATGGCAAATTTTACAAAAAAATTAGGTAAAAATGATTTCCAAAAACCACTACCAGCAGAGAAAAATAGTTTATATATTATAATTATGAGCTAATTTAATTTTCAAAGTATTTTAGTTTAGGAAATTATTAAAAAATTACTTACAAAAATATAACGAGCAGACACTCGGCTGTTTTGGTTAGTTGAGACATTTTCACAGAAAATTTTAGTGCAAGGTTAATTTATATCAAAATTTCCAAATTTTGATTTTGAAAAGGTTTTTTTTAGCAAGTTATCGGATATCGTTATCGCTTATCGGTTTTCAGGTACTGGTTATCGGTTATCGGCTGTCGATTATTAAGACAAAAATTGTAATTTTAGACGTGCATAATTGTTAATTTTTTGTCAAGTGTCGTTTTAAGAAACTTTTAAGAAGTTGTATTAGTAGCGAACGGAATATAAGCATCAACATTTATTCATAAAAGGCGCATATACAGGGTGTCCCAATAGTGTGTGGAAGTTCGATTAATCCTTTATAAACCTATGTTTTTTTAAATGGACCACCCTGTATTTAATTGTAAATTTGAATTCCCCTGATTTTGCCCTTCAAGAAAAAATCGTACTAGGTTCAACTCTCTGTATATTTCAAAAGAAACATTTAAAATTTTTTGATGAATCATTTTTGATGATAGTCTACTTTTAGAATATACCAATTTTTTCCTAGCGCAACAGACGTGTACAGGGTGAGTCAAAACTCAAATACATGATTTCCTCAATTTTTTCAAATGTAACACTCTGTATTTCATACCACTACTAAAAAGTACTCTAATTATACGTTCGTTTGAGTTAAATATTGCCTATCTCTAAACACAACAGTTTAGCTAGATTCTTAGATGAAATGTAAAAAAGGGTTAATTATAACTAAATTCACAATGTAGTTTCATTTAAACTTCTGTTAAAATATACTGTTTAATCAGTTAATATTTTTGAAGTACCTAGTTAGAATTTATTATCAACTGAATTTACTTTCTTTACCTTTAAGGTTAGGTTCACCCTGTATTTCATATCTCTACTAAAAGTATTTTAATTATACGTTCGTTTGTCCCTATCCCTAAACACAACAATTTAGAAGATATTTTATATTTGAATAAAAAAAAATATAAGCCAAAAATAAGTTATTTTAATTTTTTTAGAATACAACATTAGTACCTATATTAACACATTCACCGCTAAGCCAATTTTCATAAAACTTCCCAGCACGCCACCCATAAGAGCGACTCAGCGGACACCGGTGTACGCTCTGGCGCCATGCCTAAAAAAGCATTTTTCCCTGGCATCACTCCAGGGCGGACAAAATTTTTCCGATTTTACCACGCCACAGCGGACACAATAGCGGACACAAATATCTCAGCGTGCACGTCCTAACAGGTCTGTTTGCAGAAGCGGATCGCGCGCCAAATGGCTTGCTAAGCTCAGTATTGCATAAATTGGCGTAGTAGACACTTTACAGTGGTTTTTCGTCACAAGTTTTTTCTTTTTTGTTTTTTCATTAAGTGACAATGAGCAGTAGCTTGAGACATATTATGTCTCTTGTGGAATGTTCTAATAAGGACCATAATAAATAAAAATTTTTACCATTTTGTTTTTATAGTAAAAAATGTTAAAATGTGTGTACCTACAAAACAATATTTTTTAGTTATTTGTTATAATTAACGAGAAATTTCCTGATATGTTTTTTTGTTTTAAGAATTGTTAAAAATGCTTAAGTTATATTGTGTCTAGTTGTACATAATATAACCATAATCAATAAGTTTTTTGATATTTTATTTTGTATACTATAGAATGTTAAAATGTTTTTTTTCAATAGAACAATAAAATTTTAGTAGTTAAAAGTAGTTTACATTTCCATTGAAAAAAAATTTGTCCGCTCTGGCGCCTAGAGTTTAGCTGCTTTAAAAACTTTTTTACATGCCACAGCGGACACAATAGCGGATACAGTCCATAAAATTTAAACAAAACTCTTTTTCAAAAAACCACGGTCGGTAGGCTATTCTAGAGGCCTAAAAAGAATAAGTTATAATAAAACATTTACAAAATTTAGAATTTTCGAGGAAATATCAACCTCTAAACCTGGCGGACACAGCGGACACAAGTGTCTGCCCTGGCGGTGAATGTGTTAAAAAAAGAAAAAAAAAGCTGTTATAAAAGCTGCTCAAAGTGACTCCGTCCAACTGCAATACAATATTGTAATCTAGCTTACGTTTTTCAAACATTGTACATCTATGCTCGCGAACACTTGTCTTATTCTTTCCTTCATTTCCTCACTACTTAATGGACTAGTTTTATAAACCTCGTTTTTTACGAAACCCCACAAAAAAATCTACTTTAGTGAGGTCAGGGGACCTGGGAGGCCACATTACTGGACCATCTCTTCCAATTCACCTGTTTTCAAAATTATGGTTCAGAAAGTTGAAAACTGGTTGAGCATGATGTACAGGAGCTCCATCATGGAATATCCATAATCATCGTCTTATATTTAGTGGAACATTTTCCAATAGTAGTGGTAGATGATTCTGCAGAAAGTCTAAGTAGACCTCGGCAGTTATACAACCATGAAAGAAATGTGGTCCTATGGCATAGTCCCATAATATACCACCCCAAACGTTAATAGACCATCGTGTTTGGCTATGTGTTATTAACTGATAAAGATTGGTGATGGAATAGTAATAAAAATTGTGTCTATTAACGAAACCGTTTTTGTGAAATGTTGATTCATCCCCAAAATCAAAAAAATCATTTTCATTATTAATGCTCTCTATTGCCCATTCACAAAAAGCTATTATTTTTTGAAAATCATTTTGAAGAAGCTACTGATGACGTTGGATATGGTATGGATGTACTTTATTATTAAAAAGTATCCTATTGATAGATGATTTACTATATGAGGCGCAGCAAATGGGCTAAAATAATAATTTATAATACTCTAATATTACCTCATTTTAATTATTGTGCCACTATACTGTATTTGCTCAACCAGAATGAGTTGCAACGATTGCAAAAGTTGCAGAATAGAGGTATGAGGATAATACTGAGCTGTTCGAGATTGGAACAGTCAAGTCCATGTTGAATGTGCTACAGTGGTTGCCTGTTAAAAAATATTTGCTATTCTATTCCCTGCTTTTTATATTTAAAATTAAATCAGGAATCTCCCCAGTATATTTACAAAATATCTCGGTCAAAGAAAATAAAGGCGAAACTTCGTTTTGGCTTTATTTTCTAACACTCGTAGGTTCAAATTAATCGGCATGTGAAAGTAAGGGGCGGGCGGGCCGGACGGGGCGGCGTAAGGGTTTGCAATCACAACTTCGAGAAAGCACTCCTCGTAGTCCACATCTAGAACAGAAAAGTATACCTCGGTTATTGCAGGCTTGACGACGGTGTCCCTCAATACCACAATTCCAGCAGGTTCCTGGGTGTACTTCTACAAAGGTAGAATTGTGTTTTCGGATACGGTTGGGAGCGGAATGAGACCTTCTGGAGAGGTCAAACGGAGAGAATGCGGGTGACTGAAAATATAGATTTTCAGGGGGCGGGCGGGTGCGTTCTACAAACGAAAATACTCGATTAGTTCGAGTCTGCTTGACTGGCTTGGGGTGGTTTGAACGGATAACAGGTTGGGACTGATTAGTCTGCCCCTGTACGGCGCATGAAGCTGTTACTTCGAAGTCCAGACATCGTTCCAGATGCCTAGTCTGATTAACGGTTGATGTTCTCTCGGACACGGGGTTTACGGCTCGAGGCAGAGAGTTTTTGGTCACAGTTGTTGGTATTTTTCCTCCTTTATCACAGCTTTCGCCGAGTTCAGGAGACAATGTTTCAATCCGGTCCAGCACAGCTGTTGAACAACTCGACGTACGGCCCTTCAGAACCGATGGTGTCTTTGGAGTTACTATACTGGTCGGACGGCTGGTATTGGTCACAACTTGAAACCTGGATCTCTCATCCTGTGGGTTGGAGGGTGGGAGGCGGGTTTTCCCAGATCTTCAAGATCTATCATCCTGTGGTTTGGAGGGTGGGGGGCGGTTTCTACCCGATCTCCAAGATGTCTCGCTTTGTTGTGTAGAGAGCGGAGGGCGGTTTCTCTCCGACCTCCAGGACCTATCGTTTTGTGGTTTGGGGGGCGGTTTCTCCCCGATATGGTTTGAATCGACGGCATGTACCAAAGCACTTACTGCAATTTTCTTCGGAGTTTTAGATAACGGGTGAGCTGACGGAGGCTCTAACGGTTGCTCTATGATCCCAATCGGGTAGCAAGGTATCGGACGGGGTGTTGGAGGCATCAACATGTCACCTACAATTTTTCCACTACCTAACTCTAATAGGACATCAAGTTTGATTAGGATATCCATCCCAAGCACTAAGTCAGTACTTAAATTGGGAAAGTGCCTGATATCCTCAACAGTAGTTCGGCTGCCAAATTTCATTGGTACAGAGTAGGAATCCTGGACTCGGATGGTACTACCATTAGCTAACCTTGCAGAAGCGGGGTCTGCCTTTTTGGGTTGCTTCTTACTAGTAAGATACACAGCTAGGCGATCTCCTAGGTAGGACCTGGATGCTCCAGTGTCCACAAGGGCTGAGAATGTATCTTCCAGAATTGTTAACTCTAGGTGTGGTCGTCCGTCCTCTTCTACATACAGGACAATATCTCCGGAGGCGTTTCCCTGTGGGAAGACGGTTTGTTGAGAACCAACGTTGTTAGCCTCAAATCGCTCTTGATACCGGGGACCACGGTAGCCAGTACTGGCACTGGGATGGTATGCAGACTCTTGAGCCTGGTAACGGGGTGCAAATTGCCTGGTTCTGGAGTTACTTGGCACGGTCTCTAACTCTTCTCAAAAGTTCACATTCTTTTGCGGCTTTCCAAAAGGTAGACAAATCACTGAAATCTGTCTTGCGGATCTGTTGCCTGTATTCGGGCAGAAGATTACGGTACAATCTCTCTAATTGCTGTTCACTGGTAAACGACCCATGTCTCCTCATGAGGGTCTGCAAGTCGGTAATGTAGGAAGTGACGGGTTCGTTCCTACGATGCAATCGACGGCTAATTTCGGCTTCCAGGTCCAACTGATAGGATACTGAAAAAAAGAATATACGGAAATCGGCCTCGAAGGCCTCCCAAGTTGGCCAATTATCTCGGTTATTACGGAACCACAA